ATGCAACGGGCATCACAGCAAAGTATACCGGCTATAAAACCTGCGTCCGGTTAGTATGAAATCCCCGGGTAAAAAGTAAAATGTCCGCGAATATCATCACATCGCTCGGGACGCCTTCAAGATGTGGATATCAAACGGAAAACCGCGGAGCGGGTCGCCTTTAGAACTTATGCGGAAAACTCGAGCAGAATTTAAATTCGTGTCACGTATTTGTAAAAGAAATGAGAACGAGGCAAGGACCAACGCGATGGCCAACAAACTGTCCAGATGTGACATGGATAAGTTTGGGAAATTGGTTCAATCAGATACAAATAAATAATGCCCTTCTCCAAGTATTGTGGGTGGCTGTAGTGGGCATTTAAATATTGCCAATATGTGGAAGCATCACTACGAAAGGTTGTTGAACTAAGTTTCTGGCTGTAAGTATAAAAATCACGTGACCTCATCATTACAGAATATTGTATTTCACGATGACATGATTGTTACTACACAAGAAATTGTTGAAGCAGTCAAAAAATTAGAAAATGGGAAGGCTACAGGAAAAGATAATTTGTCCTCGGAGCAATTAATTTTTGTCAATCCGGCTTTTTATCCGTTGTTGAGTATGTGTTTTACTGCCCTATTTGTTCACGGTCACTTACCCGGTGATTTAATGAGCGCGGTTATTGTACCTATCATAAAATATAAAGCTAAAGATGTAACATCTACTGATAATTATAGACCCGTTGCACTGGTGTCTGATTCTAAAGTGTTTACATTGTGTATTTTGACAAGATTAGAAATGTATATTGGGACGAATGACTTCCAGTTTGAGTTTAAAAGTCACCACTCAACTGACATGTGCATATTTATTCTTAAAGAAATTGTTGATTTTTATAGGAGGCACAACTCACCTGTTTTTATCTGTTTTATGGATGTCACGAAGGCATTTGACCGAGTCAATCATTGGTCTTTGTTTCATAAGCTTATAAAGAGGCAAGTGCCTTTGTTCATTGTGCGGTGTTTGACCAGGTGGTACCGTAACCACTTAGTTTACGTCCGTTGGATATCAGGTGTGTCCGAATCTTTTAAGGTCTCCAACGGCGTTCGTCAGGGAAGCATTCTTTCCCCAAAATTATTTGCGGTATATGTGGACGATTTAAGTGAAAAACCAAGGCTAGCGGGGGTCGGGTGTCACTTACGAGCACGTATTCTGAACTATCTTTTATATGCAGACGACACAACCTTGATGTGTCCATCTGCTAAAGCTCTACAAATGCTTGTGTCAATTTATGAGAAATATGGAGTAGAACATGATATTAAGTTTCACACTATAAAAACAAAATGTATGGTCTTCCATCCCAGTGCATGGAAACCTAATAGTATCCCCAACGTCTATTTGTATGGTAAAGCTTTGGAATATGTTTCAGTTATCAAATATCTTGGTTACATTGTGTTATCGTCAGGCAGTGATTGTCAAGATATGCAAAGACAGCTAAGATCAATATATGCAAGGGCAAATATTATTTTGCGTAATTTTGGTCTCTGTTCAGAGAATGTGAAATGTACACTTTTTAGAGCGTTTTTAAACAGTTTTTATTTTCTTGATATTTGGTGTAATTATAGTGTTCGGCAGCTAAACAAAATGAAAGTTGCCTATAATAATACCATACGATTAGTTTTTAAATTAAGACGTTCCTCAAGTGCTAGTTCTAATTGTGTCGGTAGAAATATTTTTAATTTGTCATCTCTACAGAGAAAAGCGCTGCACAATTTTAATATGCGACTTTTTCAAAGTAAGAATAGTATAATTTCCGATTGCATTAATTGCGATTCTTTTTATAAATCAATCTTTTGGCGCCATTATAGACGCCTTTTGTATGTTTAAATGTTTGTTATTAATAGTTTTATTTTAGTATGTTTTCTTTTTTGTGTGTACTTTGTGGGCTGTGTACCTGAAATAAATAAATAATAAAT